CTGAATGGTGGAATCTGATGCTACCAAATGTTATATCTGCAGTGCACAATTGCCCATGCTTTAGAGAAACAAAATATCCAGATTCAGATATATACTGGAAAAAGTTTGAAGAGAAATATCACTTCTCTTGTCAATTTACTGCCGACCTAATAGCGATGAATAATGCAGATTTCATCATCACCAGTACATATCAAGAAATTGCAGGAACGTGAGTCTCCTATTTTTGCTCTTCTTTCTCCTCTTTACAGGAAGAAAGTCCCCTTTCTAGTCTCTTTTCCTCGTAATGCATATGCCCTTTGAGAGAAAAGTTGTTGAACATATGCTAATGTGATGGTTCAAAAGGACTGGTTCTTTAGTAAAAAACTTGAATTTACACGCCTGGAATGCTCAGACCTTTCTCAGTATGACTAAATTGATGTTCTTGCTCATAATTGCTGTGAGACTTAACAGGAATTTTGGAGGTGTTTAATCAAAGTACGATTGGTCAGAAGTCAATTCACAATAATACTTGAAAATGCATGCAATGGAAAACTTTCTATTCCTATGTGCTTGCAAATGTTCCCTTTCTGCAATCATTGATACAAGTAGAACTTTTTCTTTGGAGAATTTACAGAGTAAGATTGGAAGGGAGAGTAGTTCCTTGATTACATGGTAATACTTTATTGTGCTTTGCAATGCCTTTATCATCTAGGTTATAACTTATGTTGAGAAATGCATTTCTGTGTACAAGCTGGTTAATATTTTGACAGACCAACAAACCTTGTTGAATTAGGTGGTTTTTAGTATTAAAAAAACTGTACTAGAAATAATGTATTCAAAAATCAATGTTAATCTTTCTATTAGTGCAATGTCCATTATACTTTTTATTAATTACTTTTTCTTATTAGAAAATGTTGAATTGGTTAAATTAGTCTTACATGTGGTGATTTGCTCAGTGTTAAATCACCATGTTAACTAACCTGAACCTGCCTATATGGGCCCAATATAGATGTGCAAATTCATCCAAGTACCGCATATATGGAAATTGACAAATACTCTTGCAACTTCATGTTAGATGTCACTATTAATAGTTCTTACATTTGTTGCATAATCTTGTTGTATGCCTCTTCCAGGAAGAACACTGTTGGTCAGTATGAGAGTCACAGTGCTTTTACTCTACCGGGGCTTTACCGGGTTGTCCATGGCATTGATGTTTTTGATCCAAAATTCAATATTGTCTCTCCTGGGGCAGACATGTGCATTTACTTCCCATATTCTGAGAAGCAAAAAAGACTCACGGCCCTACATGGTACGATTGAACAAATGTTATACAGTCGTGAGCAGAATGATGAATACGTGTTAGTATTTCTTTCCTTTTCCTTTTTAGTATCTTCCACCTTATTCATTAGTTTCTATAGAGGCACATCTATGGAAAACGGTATGTTAATGTCTTATCTTTCTGGTCATCTTACACATAGAGCAGAATTCCATGTGAACATATAAAAGAAAATCTCCATGACAATTTAGGTAAGAGTCCTTTTTTTATTTATTTTTTTATGAGGATGGCATGAGGGAAGAAGCCAAATCAATATTCCTTGAGATTAGAAGTTCTTCAAGTACAGAATATTCTGTTTAAGTTACTTAGTATTATCGAAATTCTTCAGCATTTACTGGTGGTCTATTGCGTTGTGAACAAGAGTGAGTGAAGTTAATACTGCACAAAGCAGAGTTGGTGATTGCTAGACTTTCATTGTCAATGTGATAATGTGCACTTGCATAAGCAACTCTCAGATGAAAGAAAATAAATACTTAGGCTTGAACTGCTTGTTTTAACAAATTACTTCACCTACTCTTCTCGTACATTTCTTTATATTCTGTGAAATATGCCTCCTTTACCCGAATTTTTATTCCAAAATGTCATTACTTGATTTTTTTTGGTGTTTAAACTTATTAATAGATATCGAAGTTTTAAAAAGCATCTAGTTTGTTGCCAAGAGCATTTAGCTCTTATGGCATGACATTCTCATAGTAGAATTTGTGACTCGAGTTTGAGTCTTATCGCCTGCTCCTGTATGAAGAAAAGCATATAATTTATTGCAACGTCAAATTAGCTTCTAAGTGTTAGTTTTTCACTTGATTTTAATCTCGGTTAGAAAATTTGTCACTGGTGGTTCTTATGATGATCTAGTTGTAGAATTCGTGCAAGCATGAGTTTAGAATGATTTTACTTTTTCTTCAGAGCATATTGAGGCACAAAGCATTGAGGTAGAGAGAACGATTTAACTTACCTGGTGGTTTATGATTATTTCTCCCTTGTTTCTTAATTCAGTGGTTTCTTGA